CCTTTTTGATCATGAAGTAAACTTTATGACCCATTTCATCTTTTTCTACAATCTTTGTATAATTAAATACATCATAAATCTAATTACTTTCTTTTAATATCAGAATGTTAAAGCAAAAATGTTTTTTTATCATAAAGTAAACTTTACCACCAATTTCATCTTTTCTACAATTTTTATATAATTAAATACATAGTAAATATAATTATTTTCTTTTAATATCAGAATGTTAAAGCAAAAATGTTCTTGATCATGAAGTAAACTTTATGACCCATTTCATCTTTTCTACAATCTTTATATAATTAAATACATAGTAAATCTAATTATTTTCTTTTAATATGAGAATGTTAAAGCAAAAACGTTTTTGATCATGAAGTAACCTTGATGACCAATTTCATCTTTTCTACAATCTTTATATAATTAAATACATCTTAAATTTTTCAAAATTGTTAATACAGAATTGAGGTCAACATGAAGAAAGTAGTCAAAAAAGTTTTAAATAGTATCAATATAAATGAAAACTTTAATAATTATTAATAATTAACAAAGCCCCCAGAAAAAAAACTCTTTATTATAAAAATAAATATAAGTAATTTTTATAATTTTTTAAGATAATTTTTACTTATTTTATAAATAATATTTTTATTATAAATAATTATCTTACTCTAAAAAAATATTAAAACGGTTAAATTTTTAAAAATTTGTGACTTAAAAAATAAAACTTGTAAGATAATTATTTTAATTTTAAAAAATAATTATTTAGTAAAATTTTAAAAAAGTGTAATTATATATTTTTAATTATTATTAATTATTAGAATTTTCATTTAAAATTTTTACAATTTATAATAATAAAAAAATGTTAATTTGAATATAATTAGTATTTATTACAATTTNCTGAGTCAGTTTCTGACATTTGGAAAATATAAGCTTCTCCCAACTTTCAAATACCAAAGATTGTCTTCTGGGTCTTGTGAATCTGAACTAGTCCCTGGTATCAATGGTAGTGCTGCAAAAGAGAATGAGCAAGTTGATGTAGAGTGATGTAAACTTAAGAATTACTGACTAACAACACCTGTTGTACGCCCATGTATGAAAAATAGGTAAGACTTTTGGGTGGATGCATTATTTTGTATGAGGTTGCCCATGTACTGAATAATCAAGTGAATTTTGTTGTGATTTTACACTCTTCAACAACTTCTGATTGTTTTTTCTCCAATTGTTTGCCACATTGCAATGAATTTGTTTATGTATCATGAGCTGTGCGGTAATGAATTTGATGCAGAAAGAGGTTAGAAATGGAAGTTCAATCCAAAAAGAAAAACTGCATGAAGTCAAATAGACCAAAAGAAAAATTAAACTTTGTAGGAACTATAGTAAAAATCATTATTTTGATGTATCAAAACATGTTTTAGTATATCTTATGAACTCGATAAACATTTCAGTAATGATCTGAGTGGTGGTACTGCATAATCGTGTCTTGATTTACTGTTATTGTGCCTTATTTATGAACTGCATCTTCTACAAATTGAGTTTAAAAAGGTTGTGAGGAGGTATTATAAGCCACTTTTAGCTGAAGTGTTCATGGGATAATACAAGTTTAAGATTCTTTGTAAATAGACTGCAATAAAAGCATTTGTAGAAAAGCAAAGCTTAAAAATTTAAAAATGTTTCTCCAATAGATTTCTAATATTGCTTTTCTTCCTTAATATTTAACTTATAGTTTTTTTACTCATAATATTATAAATAATATTCATAATAAGTGAAAAGGAGACAACAATGATTTTTTCTAATATTATAAATGGCCAAAAGGAGTTGACTTGTAAAAGTTATAATGAAGAAAATACTGAGAAAATTTGCTGTAATGATTATACTACATTGAATATCCATAATTATTAACAAACCATATTGGTTTTATTAGATACAACTGTCAACCATCAATTTCATACAGATGAATAAATTTGTTTTCGAAAAATAAAAAATATGGAACAACAATTTATTTAAAAATGTAAAGTTTAAAAAATAATTTTCATTTAGATTAAAAATTAATAAAAAGATTAAAAATTTAATCAAGAAAAAAAATCCTTTTACAAATAAATGATAAAAAAAGCAAAACAAGAAAAAAAAGAGAAATAAAAAAGTATGAACCCATCTGATTAGAACACAATGGGCTTACAGTCCAGTTTTGTTTTTATGAGCCCACTCCCTTGTTCATCTCTTTGCACCCTCCCAAATGCTCTCCACTCAGCAACACAGAAAATAACACAAATTTTGACATGTAATAACTCTACAAAGATTTATGCCAATTTAATATAAACGTTACATAGAGTATTTTAAAAGAAATGGAAATTCAATTGAATCAAAAGTAAATATAAAAAAACAATTAAACTAAAATCTTAAATATATAAACCAAATTACTAATTAAGTCTACATTTTAGTAATTAAAATTTTTAATATTATTTTAAATACTGATGTATTAAAAATATTATTTCTCTACTAGTATACCTATTTAAATCAGTATTAAATGATAAGAAATATGAGATTTTGTTTTGTCGTACAGAAAACATTAAATATGAAAACATAATATTCTTAATGTTTGGTAAACTACCGAACTATTCGTGATTCGTGATTTGTGATTGGTGTACTCTAACCAGTGGACTTTGGTGTGTGAACCTTTCTAGCTCCCTTTTGTAGAAAAAGAATATTGTACTGTTAGTATTTCCCATACCACAAATGTAGCCAACATCACGTAAGCTAAACGTTCTTTTCGATCTCCTAATGTTAGACTTATTTCGGATGTCCTACCTATTTTTTCTATATTGTCGATGCCCTTTTTAAATTCATCAACATCTTCCACGCAAATCTATTTACTTTCTTTTAATGCGAGAATGTTAAAGCAAAAACGTTTTTTGATTTTGAAGTAAACTTTATGACCCATTTCATCTTTTTCTACAATCTTTATATAATTAAATACATCATAAATCTAATTACTTTCTTTTAATATCAGAATGTTAAAGCAAAAACATTTTTGATCATGAAGTAAACTTTATGACCCATTTCATCTTTTCTACAATCTTTATATAATTATATACATCGTAAATATAATTACTTTCTTTTAATATCATAATGTTAAAACAAAAACCTTTTTGATCATGAAGTAAACTTTATGACCCATTTCATCTTTTTCTACAATCTTTGTATAATTAAATACATCATAAATCTAATTACTTTCTTTTAATATCAGAATGTTAAAGCAAAAATGTTTTTTTATCATAAAGTAAACTTTACCACCAATTTCATCTTTTCTACAATTTTTATATAATTAAATACATAGTAAATATAATTATTTTCTTTTAATATCAGAATGTTAAAGCAAAAATGTTCTTGATCATGAAGTAAACTTTATGACCCATTTCATCTTTTCTACAATCTTTATATAATTAAATACATAGTAAATCTAATTATTTTCTTTTAATATGAGAATGTTAAAGCAAAAACGTTTTTGATCATGAAGTAACCTTGATGACCAATTTCATCTTTTCTACAATCTTTATATAATTAAATACATCTTAAATTTTTCAAAATTGTTAATACAGAATTGAGGTCAACATGAAGAAAGTAGTCAAAAAAGTTTTAAATAGTATCAATATAAATGAAAACTTTAATAATTATTAATAATTAACAAAGCCCCCAGAAAAAAAACTCTTTATTATAAAAATAAATATAAGTAATTTTTATAATTTTTTAAGATAATTTTTACTTATTTTATAAATAATATTTTTATTATAAATAATTATCTTACTCTAAAAAAATATTAAAACGGTTAAATTTTTAAAAATTTGTGACTTAAAAAATAAAACTTGTAAGATAATTATTTTAATTTTAAAAAATAATTATTTAGTAAAATTTTAAAAAAGTGTAATTATATATTTTTAATTATTATTAATTATTAGAATTTTCATTTAAAATTTTTACAATTTATAATAACAATAAAATGTTAATTTGAATATAATTAGTATTTATTACAATTTCCATTTAAATGTAATAATAGAAATGCTAATTTGTATATAATCAGTAGTTATTAAAATTTTAATTTAAATATAATAATAAAAATTTGAATTTGTATATAGTTAACGATTTAAAGAGTAACAATTTAAATGATAGCAATTTAAATAGAAACTCTAATAATATTAATTTAAATGGTAATCATGTTATAATAGAAATGTTAATTTGAATATAACAATTTAAATAAAAATTCTAATAATTACTAATAATTAATCAACATAACCTACATAACTAAAAACACTCTTTGTTTTACCACTAATATCTTTTGCTTATTGATTATTCGAGGTCTTTATTATCAGAGAGATTTTGCTTATTACAGGTGAAGTCGTATCTCTTTTGCACGAATTCAAGTAATCAATTATCAAAGTATAAAATCGTTCTAGGAGTGCGCGATTCCCTCCTTCATACTCATGTGTCAATGTAAAATAATTTCTTCATTTGAAATTCTATGAACCCCACAACTTACCTAAATTTAAAATTTTTGTCTATACGCAAAATGTTTTTCAAATTTTGCTAATAACGTAAAAAGAAAACCTTTGTTTTTTTCAATTCCCAAAACATTTTTCATACAAGTGTATTTAAAACTGTAATTAATACATACAATTGCAGAGTAGTTATATTTATGAGCAATCTACTTTTACTGTCACATCACAGTGATTCGAAAACGTAATCTGCAAATTTGTCTGCTAAAGTGAAAACTTTAACATGGTAAACGAGATGACAAACATTTAATGAGACACAACTTTCAACCTTCAACAACGTCATAAATCCAATGTAAAATTCGGTTGTAGCACTAATACCGGCCATTAAAATGTGCAAGCACTATCATTTTCAGTAACCAAAATGGCATGCATGCATTAAAGCAGCGGCTTGACTCGAGGATTTCTCATGGCATATAAACCTTCCACCTGCTATGTTTATCAATCCAGTTTTGACTTTTGCCTATTTGAATGAGAGAACACATTAAGCAAAGAGAATTCTAAGTTAAAAACAAGAACTTCCATATAAGAAAGTGTGAACAGGTATCTGTGTGTACAACCACACGCTTTCCATTTCCGGCGCTATGAAAACTGAAAACCCAACTGAAAAAGACAACGTTTTTCTTTCTCGTACTGCTGTATATTTCAACTGGCTACAAATAGCACTGTTCTTTGGTCTGTGACTGCATGTGTGAAGCTGCAAAGGTTGTGGTGTGGTAGTTATGGAGGGTAGTGATATATACAGAGCAAGTAATAGTTTACGTGCGAGCAGTTCTACTGCATGGAGAAGGAGTATAATGGAGGGTTTTTCGAGGTCATCACATCATGAAGAGGGAATAGATGAAGAAGCTCTGAAATGGGCTGCACTTGAGAAGCTACCTACTTACAACCGTTTGAAGAAAGGCTTGTTGACCACTTCTCGTGGAGTCGCCAATGAGATTGATATAACTGAACTTGGATTTCGAGAAAGACAGAAACTTTTGGACAGGTTGATCAATGTTGCTGAAGAGGACAATGAGAGGTTTCTGTTGAAGCTTAAGGGTCGGATTGATAGGTAAAGATTAAGGATGCATTGATGTTGCTTCTTTCCTCTGTTTTTCCATGCTTGTCTCTGTTATTCTGTGATGATCCTTGATAAAGTCTCTCTCTGTTGTTGTGTTTTTATCTGTTTTTGTGATTTAATTTTTCAGAGTTGGGATTGATATTCCGACAATCGAAGTTCGATATGAGCACTTAAATGTTGAGGCAGAGACTTATGTGGGAAGTAGAGCTTTGCCTACTTTTGTAAACTTCGTTACAAACATGGTGGAGGTAGGTACATTTGGCAGATTCTAGCTTTGACTTTTTGTGTTTCTTCTTTTGAGTTAGTTTCTTTCACTCTCTTACAATTTCTTTCTTTTTTTCTCTTTGCCTTTTTAGAGTGTCTTTACTTCTCTCCATATTCTCTCAGGCAAAAAGAAACATGTTACTATCCTTAAAGATGTCAGTGGAATAATCAAACCTCGCAGGATGACACTACTTTTGGGTCCTCCAAGTTCAGGAAAAACCACTCTCCTTTTAGCTCTGTCAGGAAAACTTGATCCAAATCTTAAGGTGAAAAACAATTTCCCTTAATTTTTGCATTAGAAAGTGGTAGTTTTGGTTTAATTTATATGTTTTTGTTGTGTGCTCTAGGCATCGGGGAGAGTGACTTATAATGGGCATGGATTTGACGAGTTTGTTCCTCAGAGAACAGCTGCATATATTAGCCAGAATGATGTTCATGTTGGAGAAATGACAGTGAGGGAAACTTTGGCATTCTCAGCAAGGTGCCAAGGAGTTGGAACACGTTACGGTTAGCCAATTGCTTATTCTTTTTTTTCCTTGTTTTTTGAAAAATGATATTTTCACACACAAAATTTTCACATTCAAATTTTCACATTCATTGATACCGTGCTTTCTTATTTTTTACTTTATTCTACAAAAGTTTACACTTTTATCATCATTTTATCTTTATATCATATGTAAAATGAATGTAAAAGTATAGTATCATTCTTTTTTTCTTTTTAATCAAACATTGCCTACTTTCGCCGATTTATTCATGTGGGGCCTCTCTTCACCATTTGTTATGATCAAGACTTGCTATCTGAGTTGGCTAGAAGAGAAAAAGAAGCAAAGATCAAGCCAGACCCGGACATTGATGTCTACATGAAGGTAAAAGAAAAGCTAAAATTATCAAATCATGTTACATTAATTTAAGATAGTTCTATAGCCATGGATATAATATCTCTGCAATTGAATGTCTTGTGATATACCAGGCAGCTGTAACTGGAGGTCAGGAGGCAAGTCTGGTAACAGATTATGTTCTGAAGGTAACACTAGAACAATGTCCTCTCATGGTTCAAAGAATAGTACAAGATATATGCTTATGGTGCCTTAAAATATTCCAAATTTGGTTTTAGGTTCCATAGAAGTTTATGTTTCTTGTCCGTGCATTTACTAAAAGTAACATGGTTTTAGTATTTTGTCAAGGACTAAATATGCTAAAATGTCTGTAATAAGAAATGAGCCGACAAAACATTTGCTTTTAATACTTTGCAGATTCTGGGGTTGGATATATGTGCTGATACAATGATGGGGGATGAAATGTTGCGTGGTATATCTGGAGGACAAAGGAAGAGGGTTACTACAGGGGAGATGTTGGTTGGACCAGCAAATGCTCTATTTATGGATGAAATATCCACTGGTTTAGACAGTTCCACAACTTTTCAAATTGTGAAGTGTCTCAGGCAATATGTTCACATTCTTGATGGAACTGCAGTTATCTCTTTACTCCAGCCAGCACCGGAGACTTACGAACTTTTTGATGACATTGTTCTTATATCTGATGGCCAAATTGTCTACCAAGGACCCCGTGAACATGTTCTTGAATTTTTTGAATCTGTTGGTTTCCAATGTCCCGAGAGGAAAGGTGTTGCTGACTTTCTACAAGAAGTAAGTTAAAAGTTTTTCTTTTGCATCTCTCGTTTGATGTTTTTGCAGAAACATAAATTTGATGTCTTGTCACAGGTAACTTCAAGAAAGGATCAAGAGCAGTATTGGATGCACAGAGATGAGCCATACAGGTTTGTAACTGTCACTCAATTTACTGAGGCATTTCAGTCATTTCATGTTGGGAGGAGAATTGGAGAAGAGCTTGCAACTCCATTTGACAAGTCCAAAAGCCACCCAGCTGCATTAACCACCAAAAGGTATGGCGTGAACAAGAAGGATTTGGTAAAGGCTAACATCTCAAGAGAGCTTTTGCTCATGAAAAGGAATTCATTTGTTTACATCTTCAAGCTGTTCCAGGTGAGTTCTACTGACTTTATCTAATATGATACATTGTGATTACTTACAAACTGATTATACTCTCCTACACCACACTATCTGCATGTCTTTCTGCTAGTATGAATGAATGCTTCTAAATTATAATCCTTTATTTGAAACTATAATGATTTTGCTTACTATTGATTTTCCTGTGCTTTACGTAGCTTACGATCTTGGCAATATTGACCATGACAATGTTTCTGCGAACTGAGATGCATCGGGATAACTTGGGTGATGGAGGTGTTTACACTGGTGCTCTATTTTTCGCAGTAGTAATTCTTATGTTTAATGGATTGGCTGAGATTTCAATGACCATTGTAAAGCTTCCTATTTTCTACAAGCAACGAGACCTTCTTTTTTATCCTTCATGGGCATATGCTATTCCCTCATGGATCCTCAAGATCCCTATTACATTTTTAGAAGCTGCTGTTTGGGTATTTCTGACCTACTACGTAATTGGATTTGATCCAAATGTTTCGAGGTAATCGAGTTTCCTTCATCTATAAGGTCACTTATGCTTTATTTATTTGCTTGTAGTGTTTACTTTTGATGTGAACTCATTCTTTATGTAGGTTTTTAAAGCAGTACCTTGTGCTACTACTGATAAACCAAATGTCTTCTGGTTTGTTCCGAGCTATTGCAGCACTTGGTAGGAACATGATTGTGGCTAACACATTTGGGTCATTTGCACTTCTCATTCTTTTTGCATTGGGTGGCTTCGTTCTATCAAGAAGTGAGTTCAATTAACAATGTCATGAATTTGTTTCTATCATCTCAGATGGTGGTTGATATTAATGCTTCTTTGTTTAAACTGGCAATGAAACAGATGATATCAAGGACTGGTGGATTTGGGGTTACTGGATTTCACCTTTAATGTATGGACAGAATGCAATAGTGGTGAATGAATTCCTTGGAAACAGTTGGAACCACGTAATTTCTTTAACTAGCAACTTTAGATTACTTGCTTTATGTTAAAAAAGGAGTAAGCCTAATATGTTTGAAATTTAAGTGTGAATCTAAGTCTCACATTGGATAAAAATGAGAAAGTAGAGCACTGTATAAAAAGGTGAAAGACCCATTAACTCATTGTTTTAAAGTTTTAGATAGGGAATGATGTCGATCCTTTGTATGGTTAGACTCAGATCTTATTGGTGTTTGTGTCTTATTGATGAACCTCCTAACATGTTTGCTTTGCAATCACAGTTCACCCCAAATTCAAATAAGACTTTGGGAATTCAAATTCTGGAGTCCCGTGGGTTCTTCACACATGCATATTGGTACTGGATAGGAATTGGGGCATTGATTGGATTTATCTTCCTCTTCAACATTATGTACACTTTGGCTCTCACTTACCTAAATCGTGAGTAGTTTCACATTTGTTTGTTTAATATTCTTGTAGCAAAGCAAAACTTGATCAACACGTCTATATTGTTTTTGCAGCATTTGACAAGCCGCAGACAACAATAACTGAAGAATCAGAAGGTGGTGTGGCTAATGGGAGAGCACGAGAAGAAGAATTAACATGCTTAGGTGATATATCTTATTTATATCTTTCATGAAAACTCAATGCATGCATACTATTTTCAATTTCAGTATATGTCCTTCAAGTGAACAGTTTTTTCACTGTCATGCAGAAAGTTATGGAAGTGCTAATTCTGTCGTGAGTTGTAGCCGTAGAAAGAATAGAGGAATGGTTCTTCCTTTTGAACCATATTCTATCACATTTGATCAAATAGTGTACTCTGTTGATATGCCACAAGTAAGTCACTTAAAAGTTATAACTAAGATTTTGGATTCTAATAGTGATTTTAACTAAATTTCCCTTTAGTTAAAACATAGTTCTTGGAATTGGCAGGAAATGAAGGATCAAGGTGTAAGGGAGGACAAATTGGTGCTTTTGAAAGGTGTGAGTGGTGCATTTTGTCCTGGTGTTCTCACAGCTTTGATGGGTGTAAGTGGTGCTGGAAAAACTACATTGATGGATGTTTTAGCTGGAAGGAAAACTGGTGGCTATATTGAGGGAAACATAAAAGTTTCTGGTTATCCCAAAAGGCAAGAAACATTTGCTCGTATTTCTGGTTATTGTGAGCAGAATGACATCCACTCTCCTCATGTTACCGTCTATGAGTCCTTGGTCTACTCTGCATGGCTTCGTTTGACAGCAGAAGTTGAATCCAAGACTAGAAAGGTTAGCTGCAACTTAAGAGTCAAAACCTAACACCCTGTTCGCTTTAACAACTTGTTTGTCTTTGTGGCTTGTTGGGCAATCACCTGTTCACAGCCCCATCGTACTTCTCAAATACAACTTTACGTTCTGCTAGGTCGGTCCAATTTACTTTCTCATTATATTTGCCTACTTTCGCCGATTTATTCATGTGGGGCCTCTCTTCACCATTTGTTATGATCAAGACTTGCTATCTGAGTTGGCTAGAAGAGAAAAAGAAGCAAAGATCAAGCCAGACCCGGACATTGATGTCTACATGAAGGTAAAAGAAAAGCTAAAATTATCAAATCATGTTACATTAATTTAAGATAGTTCTATAGCCATGGATATAATATCTCTGCAATTGAATGTCTTGTGATATACCAGGCAGCTGTAACTGGAGGTCAGGAGGCAAGTCTGGTAACAGATTATGTTCTGAAGGTAACACTAGAACAATGTCCTCTCATGGTTCAAAGAATAGTACAAGATATATGCTTATGGTGCCTTAAAATATTCCAAATTTGGTTTTAGGTTCCATAGAAGTTTATGTTTCTTGTCCGTGCATTTACTAAAAGTAACATGGTTTTAGTATTTTGTCAAGGACTAAATATGCTAAAATGTCTGTAATAAGAAATGAGCCGACAAAACATTTGCTTTTAATACTTTGCAGATTCTGGGGTTGGATATATGTGCTGATACAATGATGGGGGATGAAATGTTGCGTGGTATATCTGGAGGACAAAGGAAGAGGGTTACTACAGGGGAGATGTTGGTTGGACCAGCAAATGCTCTATTTATGGATGAAATATCCACTGGTTTAGACAGTTCCACAACTTTTCAAATTGTGAAGTGTCTCAGGCAATATGTTCACATTCTTGATGGAACTGCAGTTATCTCTTTACTCCAGCCAGCACCGGAGACTTACGAACTTTTTGATGACATTGTTCTTATATCTGATGGCCAAATTGTCTACCAAGGACCCCGTGAACATGTTCTTGAATTTTTTGAATCTGTTGGTTTCCAATGTCCCGAGAGGAAAGGTGTTGCTGACTTTCTACAAGAAGTAAGTTAAAAGTTTTTCTTTTGCATCTCTCGTTTGATGTTTTTGCAGAAACATAAATTTGATGTCTTGTCACAGGTAACTTCAAGAAAGGATCAAGAGCAGTATTGGATGCACAGAGATGAGCCATACAGGTTTGTAACTGTCACTCAATTTACTGAGGCATTTCAGTCATTTCATGTTGGGAGGAGAATTGGAGAAGAGCTTGCAACTCCATTTGACAAGTCCAAAAGCCACCCAGCTGCATTAACCACCAAAAGGTATGGCGTGAACAAGAAGGATTTGGTAAAGGCTAACATCTCAAGAGAGCTTTTGCTCATGAAAAGGAATTCATTTGTTTACATCTTCAAGCTGTTCCAGGTGAGTTCTACTGACTTTATCTAATATGATACATTGTGATTACTTACAAACTGATTATACTCTCCTACACCACACTATCTGCATGTCTTTCTGCTAGTATGAATGAATGCTTCTAAATTATAATCCTTTATTTGAAACTATAATGATTTTGCTTACTATTGATTTTCCTGTGCTTTACGTAGCTTACGATCTTGGCAATATTGACCATGACAATGTTTCTGCGAACTGAGATGCATCGGGATAACTTGGGTGATGGAGGTGTTTACACTGGTGCTCTATTTTTCGCAGTAGTAATTCTTATGTTTAATGGATTGGCTGAGATTTCAATGACCATTGTAAAGCTTCCTATTTTCTACAAGCAACGAGACCTTCTTTTTTATCCTTCATGGGCATATGCTATTCCCTCATGGATCCTCAAGATCCCTATTACATTTTTAGAAGCTGCTGTTTGGGTATTTCTGACCTACTACGTAATTGGATTTGATCCAAATGTTTCGAGGTAATCGAGTTTCCTTCATCTATAAGGTCACTTATGCTTTATTTATTTGCTTGTAGTGTTTACTTTTGATGTGAACTCATTCTTTATGTAGGTTTTTAAAGCAGTACCTTGTGCTACTACTGATAAACCAAATGTCTTCTGGTTTGTTCCGAGCTATTGCAGCACTTGGTAGGAACATGATTGTGGCTAACACATTTGGGTCATTTGCACTTCTCATTCTTTTTGCATTGGGTGGCTTCGTTCTATCAAGAAGTGAGTTCAATTAACAATGTCATGAATTTGTTTCTATCATCTCAGATGGTGGTTGATATTAATGCTTCTTTGTTTAAACTGGCAATGAAACAGATGATATCAAGGACTGGTGGATTTGGGGTTACTGGATTTCACCTTTAATGTATGGACAGAATGCAATAGTGGTGAATGAATTCCTTGGATACAGTTGGAACCACGTAATTTCTTTAACTAGCAACTTTAGATTACTTGCTTTATGTTAAAAAAGGAGTAAGCCTAATATGTTTGAAATTTAAGTGTGAATCTAAGTCTCACATTGGATAAAAATGAGAAAGTAGAGCACTGTATAAAAAGGTGAAAGACCCATTAACTCATTGTTTTAAAGTTTTAGATAGGGAATGATGTCGATCCTTTGTATGGTTAGACTCAGATCTTATTGGTGTTTGTCTTACTTATGAACCTCCTAACATGTTTGCTTTGCAATCACAGTTCACCCCAAATTCAAATAAGACTTTGGGAATTCAAATTCTGGAGTCCCGTGGGTTCTTCACACATGCATATTGGTACTGGATAGGAATTGGGGCATTGATTGGATTTATCTTCCTCTTCAACATTATGTACACTTTGGCTCTCACTTACCTAAATCGTGAGTAGTTTCACATTTGTTTGTTTAATATTCTTGTAGCAAAGCAAAACTTGATCAACACGTCTATATTGTTTTTGCAGCATTTGACAAGCCGCAGACAACAATAACTGAAGAATCAGAAGGTGGTGTGGCTAATGGGAGAGCACGAGAAGAAGAATTAACATGCTTAGGTGATATATCTTATTTATATCTTTCATGAAAACTCAATGCATGCATACTTTTTTCAATTTCAGTATATGTCCTTCAAGTGAACAGTTTTTTCACTGTCATGCAGAAAGTTATGGAAGTGCTAATTCTGTTGTGAGTTGTAGCCGTAGAAAGAATAGAGGAATGGTTCTTCCTTTTGAACCATATTCTATCACATTTGATCAAATAGTGTACTCTGTTGATATGCCACAAGTAAGTCACTTAAAAGTTATAACTAAGATTTTGGATTCTAATAGTGATTTTAACTAAATTTCCCTTTAGTTAAAACATAGTTCTTGGAATTGGCAGGAAATGAAGGATCAAGGTGTAAGGGAGGACAAATTGGTGCTTTTGAAAGGTGTGAGTGGTGCATTTTGTCCTGGTGTTCTCACAGCTTTGATGGGTGTAAGTGGTGCTGGAAAAACTACATTGATGGATGTTTTAGCTGGAAGGAAAACTGGTGGCTATATTGAGGGAAACATAAAAGTTTCTGGTTATCCCAAAAGGCAAGAAACATTTGCTCGTATTTCTGGTTATTGTGAGCAGAATGACATCCACTCTCCTCATGTTACCGTCTATGAGTCCTTGGTCTACTCTGCATGGCTTCGTTTGACAGCAGAAGTTGAATCCAAGACTAGAAAGGTTAGCTGCAACTTAAGAGTCAAAACCTAACACCCTATGGCTTTGAGTAATGATAGCATGTCACACTTTTACATTCATTTGACTCAGATTACAATAGTAAAATGTTCATAAAAATGTAAACTTTTATATTTTTTCAAGAAAGAAGAGAGTAAAAAGTAAAGAATGATAGTGTCAAATGAATGTACAAAATTTAGGTGTGTCAAAGAATCATTTTTCTTGAAGTAATACCGTCCAAAGCAATTTACAAAGTTAATGTGTTCTACTCTAATAAAAAGAATTGGCTTTTTGATCTCAAGAGACTAACAAATATCCAAACACAAAAATGATTGTTGTCACTTACTGATTTGAATATGGTTGCAGATGTTCATTGAGGAAGTCATGGAACTGGTGGAGTTGAATCCATTGAGGAACTCACTGGTTGGTTTGCCTGGTGTGAGTGGTCTCTCAACAGAACAACGTAAGAGGCTAACAATAGCAGTTGAATTAGTGGCTAATCCGTCCATAATTTTCATGGATGAGCCTACTTCTGGGTTAGATGCTAGAGCTGCTGCAATTGTTATGAGAACTGTTAGGAACACAGTTGACACTGGAAGAACAGTTGTTTGCACCATCCATCAGCCAAGCATTGACATATTTGAAGCATTTGATGAGGTGAGAAACAGTATGAGAAGATATTTGAAGATGTGTTTAATAGTTTTTCTCCATCACACTATGTTTAATATATGCTTACATGTTATTTTAGTTATTCCTAATGAAGCGTGGAGGACAAGAAATATATGTTGGACCATTGGGTCGCCATTCTAGTCAATTGATCAAGTATTTTGAGGTTAGTTGAAAGAAGTCCCGCATCGACTAGAGATAAAGCCAATTTATAATATATAAATAGGTGTAAACCAATTTTATGGGGTTGAGTTAGACTTAAAGTTCACTTCTTAACAAATGTAATAATATTTGTGCTAGTATTTACTTCTTTTTCATTCTCTTCTTTTGGCAAGAGCATTGAAGGGGTTAGTAAAATCAAAGATGGCTACAACCCAGCAACTTGGATGTTGGAAGTCACAACTCCAGCACAGGAACTTACTTTAGGTGTTGACTTTCATGAAACATATAAAAATTCTGAGTTGTACAGGTAAGCTACTATGTAATGTATACTTAAAGTCCACTTTTTAACATGGTATCAAAACTATAGTTAGAGCCTATCGTAGTGATATTTGCTGTTTGTTGAAAATATTGTTCTACCTGCTATTGGGCCGAACCACCCATTAATATCTAGTCTCCTGCTTAAGATGTATATAATTGGCGTGAGAATGGTGTGTTAGAAGCCTCACATCAATTAGAGATAAGGCCAATTTATAGTATATATAAGTAGGTGCAAACCTCACCTTATAAGTTGGTTTTGTAGGGTTGAGTTAGACTTAAAATCTATTTCTTTAACACTTTCATTAACTATACTTAGATGTTTGTATGAATTTATATTGGCTAAGACTATTATACACTAATGACTATTCTTCAGGAGAAACAAGCAACTTATAGCAGAACTAGGCAACCCCGGTCATGGATCAAAAGACATTCATTTTCCTACTCGATACGCTCAGTCACTTTTGGTTCAATGTCTAGCTTGCTTATGGAAACAACATTGGTCATATTGGCGCAATCCACCATATACAGCAGTGAGATTTCTATCAACTACTGTCATAGCTGTGATGTTTGGAACAATGTTTTGGGACCTTGGAGGCAAATAGTAAGCCAAATTTCTTTAACTCAAGAAAAAAAAAGATATCAAATTTAGCTAATTTTGTTTTTCTACTAAAATTCTGATTCCTTTCAATGGCTTCCAGCTCTAGCAGACAGGACCTATTTAATGCAATGGGTTCAATGTATAACGCTGTTCTCTTTGTTGGTATCCAAAATTCTGCTTCTGTACAACCCGTAGTAGCCATTGGAAGAACTGTCTTTTACAGAGAAAGAGCTGCGGGAATGTATTCTGCATTTCCATATGCACTTGCACAAGTAAAAAGATCACTTTTTTCTTATAGAGGAACAACAATTGCAATATAACTCACGTACCCATTTTAACACAACTCACTTTTTCTGTCATAGGTTATAATTGAGCTACCTTATATTTTTGTGCAAGCTACAACATATTCTGTCATAGTTTATTCCATGATGGGATTTGAATGGACTTCAGAGAAGTTCTTTTGGTACATGTTTTTCATGTACTTCACATTGTGCTACTTCACCTTCTATGGCATGATGACTGTGGCTGTCACACCAAATCACCATGTTGCTTCTGTTGTGGCTGCTGCATTTTATGGAATTTGGAACCTTTTCTCAGGATTTGTCATTCCACGACCTGTAAGTATTACCAAACTTTGTATACGTAAAAGGTTTAATTGCTTTGTTTATTCCTATTTTTATCAGTGTATATCAACTTAGTCCTTTTTTAAAAAAGTGTTAAACTTTGTCCAACTTTAAATACATAATATGTAAAAGATTTCATTGTTGTGTGTTAATTTGGACGAAATTGACATTTTTCAAAAGATAGAGACTAAGTTGATACATAACAACAAAAGTAGGGACTATTAGAAGAATTAAACTAATGTGACGTATGATATAGACTGAACAATTAACACTCAGGATCGTTCGATCCATCTATTGGTTAACAAAACCTATGTAAGAAGATTCAAAATTTATGATGATCTCACTTTTCTTTCCCTTTTGGTAACTTTTTTGTAACAGAACATGCCTGTGTGGTGGAGGTGGTATTACTGGGCATGCCCTGTGGCCTGGACCATATACGGGTTGCTTGCATCACAGTTTGGAGATATAACCGATGTGATGAAGTTAGAAAATATTTCAGTGCAAGAGTTCTTGAGAAGTTATTTTGGTATCAGACATGACTTCATAGGAGTTTCTGCAATCATGGTTTCTGGTTTTGCAGGCTTGTTTGCTGTTATTTTTGCTGTCTCAATCAAGGCCTTCAACTTCCAAAAGCGATAGATTAGTCAACATGAGTGGTTTTATACGTTTTCAAAGAATACCTTCGTAGATTACTGTAATGTCTTGTATATTGGTTGCTTTTTCTGTTTATATACTTTTGAAAAATAAGAGATGTACTGTGTAGAGCAACTTCAAAAATATTTCATGGACTGGATAGTGTATACATTTAGAGGGAAAAAAAGTAAAAGAAATATTTATAATTCTAATTAAATATATTTAAGTGTCCTTTTTTGTAATTTTTTTTGGTGTATTTGATAAAAGTTACTAACCATTGATTTATAGATTGAGTTCTAGTACTAATAGTTAATCCCTTGAATACTTAATAAAAATTTATTTAAGATTCACCATGTATAACAACTAATGTGTTAAATTTTATTTTTAGCAATCAAATTCATTAGGTGATTTTGTCCTATCAAAATATGGAATATAATTTCCAATTAAATTTCGCATCATTAAAAACCATGATGATTGAATCACTGACATATATTTTTTATCTATTCTTTCTTCTTTCCAACTTTTTGTATTTAAAATACTAAGAATCAATGAACCAAAAAGTTATTACTTTAATTCCAAACCTATTTCTTTCCTACTTTTATTTACCATCCAACAATTTGAGCAATAAGAAAATTTTACAAGTTCAAGAAAAATAAATAATTTATCACAAAAATTAAAATGATTTAACAAATTGGGCAAATAATATTTCCAAAATATTATTATTTTTTTAATTCATCCTTTATCATCTTAACAATTTTTTATTAACAGTAAGATTATATATAATCTTATATAAATTACCTGATTATACTCAAGATATTTTATATTTAGTTTTCAATATTTACATGGATATTTCAACTTCTTACAAGGTAAACACTAAAATAAATTTAGTTTTCACCGTCACAAATTTCACTTGGTAACGTGGATAGTATTTTTATAAATATTTCGTTTAAATTAACATTAGATTACCTTCCACAAATGTCGATTCTACGCTTAACATTAGTCATCGATTCAATAGACGAAAAATGATGTTGGATTACCCTTTGACCAATGTTAAATGAAGAATTAACGTATGATAAGAGGTGAATCGACGTCAATTAGTCTTTTAAAATTTTAGAAAATAACATTAACCCTCATCTTTCCCTTTCTTGTTTGCACAAAATCTTATTCTCATAAGAACAAATTCTTCAACTCATTTCACTTAATTTTGTTGTTGTGGTTTTTGTTTGGATTCAAACTTTCATTCTTCCCGATTTCATTTCGCATTAAGTTTCATATTTTTATTCATTAAAGGTTGTGTCTTGTGCATTGAGGTGATTTTTCTCATCTCTTCTATTTTAGTTTAACTCGTAATTTTTTAAAATTTACTAAAAATATTTAGAAAATGATTTTTGACTCAATTTCTTGTGTGGTAACTTCTATTAAGTTATATTCAAATGTATAATGTTCACATTTGACACATTAATCACAAATTTAAAATTGTCAAGATTTGATTATTAAAAACTTTAAATAATCATAATTTTTGCTATATAGACTTTGAATGGAGACGTTTCAAAAATGAAAGTTGTTATAAATGAGATGATGAATGCCTTGGCTCCTAAAGGAGAATGGGTGGTGAAATTTTAAAAATTTCACCATTTAATGTATGATTTTTTATTTTTTTAGTATTTTTCATCCATTTTTTTTATACTTTACAATGTTTATTTGAGATTCTCATACTACTTAGAAAATTTAATTTTTTTTTGTATATTATTGTATCATATAATGATTTCTAATGCTTTTAAATGACATAAATTTTGGCCTAAAATTAAAAAAAAGAAAAGCAAATTTTTGTCTATTATCCCTACATCAGATCAGATGTAAATTAACGTCAATGTCTTACCTTTCAACAGATGATGTAAAATGTTTTTTCTATGTTAGTAAAAGTATTTTGTGTTTTAATAAATCTCCCTCTACCTATCTTTCTTGTCTTATTAGTCTCCAAGTGCATTAAACGATTCTACTAAAGTAATACTTGATAAATCTCTTCATATATACATTCATATCACAATTTTAACTTCAAATCTTTCTTCCAATGATATAGAGGCGTTCGATTTCAGCAATACAAATATGTGTTTTTATTATTTTTTAATAATTTTATATCGCTTAGGAGTTAATGTCAATATTAGTTTAAATATATTTTTTTTAATTATTTAAAATATCTTTTAAAGAGAAAATTGTAATACAGTTTATGTTTCAAAACGGACAACACACTCAATACAATAACATAATTTAATCTAAAACTTACTTTCTGGTAAAAGAAAATATGCAGAAGAATAAATCACAAATTTCTGCAATCTATACAATACAATGGCTGATTAAGTGATGTGTCATTTGGCTATAACCATCAACAAACAGCTTCTATATTACTGATTTATTCACACTTAGCAAGAAGTTATATGTAAGCTTTCTTCTACTGATTTGGATAGACATAAAAATGTATTCTTATAAATGATAATAGTTGATAGAAAGAAAATGTGAAATTAATAGTTGGAAAAAATATTTTCTATAGTTGTGTGAGTTTATCAAATGTTAGTGTAGATAGATATTTATATACTCTATAAAATCATATAATTATTCTAGAGAATGTTAATTAGAATGTTTTAAATTTTTATCTATATAGAATATTCATAATCTCCTATCTTAATTTTTTCATACATTTCTCTAAAACTTGTATTATATTAATTTTAATAATATTGGTGTCTGTACTATCACTTCAAAAATAAGGAACAAAATATTTTCTCAGTAAATATATACCTTTTTTCTGTCGTAAATTGAATATTAATGCAATTTATTTAAAAATAAATGAAAATAAAAAATTAACATTTTCTTGAAAATTTTAAACACCATTAAATTTGAATTTCTTTTAAATATTAAAACGGTATTTATTTTTACACGAAGTGTAAGATCAGACGAAGATATAAAAACAAGATAAAACAACAACAGTTGAATGAGAGAATCAGAGTTTTTAACATAATGTTTAATAAGGTGACAATTTTATAAGCACCAAACATGACAAAAAACTCTCATCTAGTGAAGGCTTCAACCATTACGTATGCGCTTACGTAATAACTTCAAAAGCGATTAACATTTATTAATACATACTCATAATAATCTAAAATTAATTCAACAATCAAACAATGCTGATCTAAAAAATTCCAACATGCCCATTATATTAATATTGAGAATAACCAGACATCATAGATTCATGAATTACATGAAAGAAAATTAAAAGAAATATTAATGATTGAGAAATAGGATTAATGAACTCAGAAAAACAAAACCACCATGCAAATACAAGGAACTAAACAAAAACCTTTTGTCATGAATCAAATGCAGATGCATCAACTGAATGTTGTGAAACTGATGAAAAAATCACGAATAATATTTTCTTATATGTGTAATTATATCAACGGAATATAACAGAAACTTAACATTTAGAACAATTTTTTCAGTTCTCATCAGCATAGTCTATGCCGCAGAATGCTTTGATTCGAGACTTGGATTGAAGGGCCTTCTTTGTTGCATAGAAACGCAGATATTCATAATGATCAAATGGCTTATATTGTCTTGGATGTTCTTCATCAACAAGCTCTTCTTGTGGTTCAATCACCTTGCCACCAAGTGAAAACAGTCCCATCGAATACCTTTCCTTCTTTCCACTTATAATCACTCGGTGCTCACAACACTGCATTCTATCATTACTCCAAACCTAAAAAAAAGAGATATTAGCACGCTTATTATGCTTTGATTCACAAAAATCGAAATATAAAATAATGCGATGATATTTTTAAAATTTTCATAACAGTATAGCGTATATAATCTCGGTTCTATACAGAATCGAGACCAAAAACTCGGTTCTGTGTATAACCGAGATCAAAAACTCGGTTATCTGTATAACCGAGATCAAAAACCCTATAAGATACTGGACATGATGACGTAGAAGTATGATATGTAAGAAAAAAAAAAGAAAGGAGATTTTGATTCATGGATTTAGTTTTGGTAGATGTGAAAAATGACCGACCTTAAATGCATCGCCTGCAAGGATGAGAAACATGAAGGGAGAGGGATCAATGTCAGTCCAGTCTTCATTTTTCAGTTTTACTTGCAGACCATTTACGTTGTTCTGATGCAAAATGGTAAAGAATGATGTGTCTGTGTGAGCATGCAATCCCAGATTATTTTCATGCTTCTGTGGCACTCTATATTTGAAGCTCCGAAGCATGTACTTGGTTGATTCCAGAAGAGAATCACAGTGCTTTTGATCCACTCCATACCCATCAAACACCATTCTTTTACTCATATGATCCAATTCTACAACCAGCTTTGCATACAGACTCATAGTCTCACTATATATTCACAGCATGAAACATTAGAAACAATATAAATATGTAAAAAAACCAGACAACATAACTGAGTTGATCTCAAAAAGTACCAGAAATGATCATGTCCTGCTGGCCACATTAGCTTCGTGAACTTCTGAATTTCTTCTGTGGTCAATGGATCGTTGATCCCTAGAGATTCATACAGAGGGGCATGAGCATTTTGTCCATAGTAACCATGGTAGGGTTTGTCACTGATCTTTTGCATTTTGGTTTCCAATGGAAGATCAAATTGTTCTTCCATTAGAGTAAAAACTGAGTTGTGAAGCTCCGTAGGAACTTTATCATACAACGCATAAAAACAACCATGATCTTCAAGTGCATTTCGGATCACTTTGCATGCTGAAGCCCATTTTGCTGTACCTGGTTTCATCTCCTTATCACTGAAGTCTACTACAGGAACCTGACAAATATTTTGGGAAATCATCATCGTAACAATGTTTCTAACCTTAATTTCTCCAAGAAACTACAAATACTAGGTTGCCGCTGTTAATCAGATTTATTTATAGATGTCTGCCTATGCAGTGGAGCTCATTCTCCAGGTTTTAGGCCTTGCTTTTCTGGTTTACTTTAAATTTATATCAGTTTTGTTGGAGTCTAAGTCTCACATTAGATAAAAATGAAAAAATAAAACATTATATAAAGATGAAAGACTCGTTAATCCATTATCTTATGATTTTAGATAAAAAAGTAGTATCAATCTCTTATAGAAATTCATATCTGATTGATGTTT